CATTCTCTTGATGTTGGCAGTCTGGTAAAATCGGTATTTCTTACCAATGCCTGTAATAGCACTGGTTCCAGGGTACGTTCACACAATTGGTTTCTGAGCATCCTGGGAGTTAAGGGTTCTGTTCCTGTCTTTAGTTTGGAAAATGTTTACATGCCCACTGTAGGCAGAGGATCTGGAGATGTGAGGAAGGAAAGCACTGCGCTCCCTCAGCCAGCACATGAGTGGTAGAAAGTCCGGCTGAAGCCAGACAGAAGTTCACTTTATCTCATGTAAACATCTGTCTGTCGATGGTCCAGTGTGGGACTGGCCCTCCTTGTGAAAGAACTTCAGCTCTGTACATTCTCTGACGTTTCTCCTCTCACAGTCAGTGTATGGTACAGATGGCACTAGCTCTGGCTATTGAGCCTGTGTCCCATCAGTGAGAAAGGAAAAGGATAACACAAGTCACACATCCTCTGTCTTCAGAGACCTTCCCAGAAGCTGCTCCCATGTACGTCCCAAGGCTGGATCTGAGTCTTGAGCCAGCTGCTGAGTTAAACTTTGGACCTAATCATTCTCCGCATGATATTGTTCTGCTTTCATATATAACTTGAGTGTGGAGACCAAAGAAATATATCTGAGACCATTTGGTCAATTATTTGAGGGGCAGAGATGATGGGGGATGTCCTTCTTTATGCTGTAAATATATGCTTCTCTTATTGGTTGATGAATAAAACTGTTTTGGTCAATGCACAGCCAGGAGGTAGCCTTGTATAGGTGGGCCTACCAGACAAGGAGAACTCTGGGAAAAGGAACACAGGGAGGAGAGGCAAGGGAGATGCCATGTAGCTGCCAAAAGAGTAGCATGCCAGAGCATTCCGGATAGGCCACAGTCTCATGGCAATACATAATTTAATAGAAATGGGTTAATAATTAAGAGAGAACTAGCCAATAAGAAGTCTGAGCCACTGGCTGACTAGTTTATAATGAATATAAACCCTGTGTGTTTATTTGGGACTAAATGGCTGTGGAACCTGGCAGGACAGAAACTCTGTCTACACAGAGAGGCAGATGGAAGAGCCATGCATGGAGGAGAGGTAGAATAGGGGGCTCGGCATGACTTCGTGCATTTTGGGGATGGTTACACTAAGATGCTGCTTAAAGATGTCTGGGGAGCATGTGTAGAACTTTCCCTGACCTGAGCATTTCCCATGACCCCCACCTCCACCCCCAAGGCCTTTCCACCCTTCATGGCTTTGTATATCATCCTGCCCTTATTTGGAACATACATACTCCAGAAGGTGTCCCCTTGCTATTGTTTGCGTTCTACAGTTTGCACGTTGGTTCTTTTACTAATGAAATATGTTCTCTAGGACTCACACACTGGAAATTGGATCCCCCAATGGTGTTTGGAGATGGCATCTTTGTGACGTAATTGGGGCATGAGGATTGGCTCTTGTGAGTGGGCTAGTCCACTCATAGATTAATGCATTAAAGAGCTATCAAGGTTTGCTATGGAGTGACCATTCTCTATATGCTTGCTCACATAGGTTTGCCATTTAGGATGCAAGGAGATTACCTCATCAGTGACCATGCAGATGTCAATGTTAGGCACGTGAACTTCCTAGTCTCCAGAACCAAGAGCCAATGAACTTCAATTATTGGTTTCCAAGTTTCCAGTATTTTCTTATACCAACAGAAAACAAATGAAGACAATGTATAACTTAATTCTTGTGTGCCCCAGCTTTAGTATCTTGTAAAGCGGGAACCAGGATAGCAGATCTTTAGGGTTTTCCTGGGTTTTAATGTGGGGTGGGTTGAGAAGGTGGTTCCTGGTGGGGAATAGTCTGGAGAAAGCTCTAGAACCTCTAAATGACAAATCCCTTCTGCCTGGAGTGAAGGGGAAAAGGCCATACTCAGTACCTGCCTTTTGGAGATGCCAGGGATGAGGCCAGTTCACGGTGCACACCTACTGGGCTTGACCCTTTTCGCAGCTGGTAGAAGCGTGTGGTGAGGTCACATACACAGCATCTGACTTGTGAGGAATTTGCTGCCCACAGAGGAAGGAACAATGCATCTCCCTGGGGCCAGCAGTCAAAGGCCGGGCAAGCCCGTGGGAGGCAAACAACTCAGGCCATAGAGTTCTTTTCTTGGTTTGGAGTCTTGCCAGGGGTAACACAGACCAGATGAGCATCATGGTTCCCTAAGGTCCTATGTGCACAGGCAGGTGTCTTTCTGAGTGGCTCTAGCCTATCTAGTGGTCTGTCTGCCTCTAGGCCCTGGGCCGTTTTACATGGTCTGTATCTATATAGACATCTGGACCCAGATACAAGCAGCCGAGTGTCCCCTCACTCTACAGGAAGCTTATGGATTGTGATTTTTGAAGTTTTGGGGACTGCTAGGGTAGTTACCTGCCTGTCCTTTGCACTTGTAACCCAATCTCTGCCGGACCATTGAACACAAGCATGCCCACTGTCTTCCCAGCCTTGCTGGCTCAACACAAATCTCCCTTCTTTGTCTTGACATAAATGTTTTCCATATCCTAACATTGGAGCCTCTCTGAGTTCCCCGCCTTTTCACATGACCCTTCCCTTGTCAGAACATATTCCCTCTGCCACCCTGTGAAAAGGAGCTTGTTAGAAACACTGAGTGAAAACAAACAAACAAACAAAAACAGGCAGTGGTGACACACGCCTTTAATCCCAGCACTCAGGAGGCAGAGGCAGGTGGTTCTCTGTGAGTTTGAGGCCAGCCTGGTCTGCAGAAGGAATTCCAGGACAGCCAGAGATCTTACACAGTGAAAGCCTATATCAAAACTAAACAACCCCCCCAAAACCCCAAAAAACAAAAAGAAAGAAAGAAAGAAAGAAAGAAAGAAAGAAAGAAAGAAAAACAGAGTGAAGATTCATGGGACGGGGACATGGTGATCCACAAAAAAGGGAGCTCAGTGAGTCCATGGTGTAGCTGACTCAGGAGCTGCCAAACGAGAAGGCACTGAGGAGGGACTGGAGTCCAGGGAGGTGAGAGTCCAGACATGGAAGCAGAGCATTGGTAGGTCTGCATGGGCTTTTGGAAGCAGAAGCCGGCACTGGAAAATGCTGATGATTCTGAGCGAGGCTGGGCACTTGCTTTGATGGCAAATCAAGTACTTGTTTCAGTCTTAGAAGGGCAGCTTCACATTCCTTCTGAGGATAGGCCCGAGAGCCGTGGGAAGAGATGAGAAAGAATGGCCCCGGCGAGGATCTTTTAGCAGAATTATTACTAGGATTAGACGAGTAACTGTAGAGCAGTTTGGCCTGTCTCCTAAGTGCTGTCCAAAGTCTTTGAAGATAGAAATTCTCTCTACAGTTTCTCCCAAAATTAATGGGGCCACCTCTTTTGTTTCTACCCCAGGTCTATTCACATCCTTATTGGCTTTCTAGGTGATCCTGGCACAAAGGAAGTGGACTCCTGAACTCACCTGTCTTCTGAACTGGTCAGGTCTGCTTCAGAGTGTCTGCTTGTTGGAAGTGAGATAAAATCCAGTGTCTTCCTCATTCTCTGAGTCTGGACATCCTAAATGAGGTCATTTATGCTGAGTGCCTGGCCTCGGGCTTTCTGTCTAGGGCAGGGATGGTTACCCTAAGAGTCACCTTTAGTGACTGCCTGAAGCCAATGGAACCCTGGAGGAAAGGCAGAAGGTTCAGGGCAGGGAAGCCTGGCAATGGCTGATGTCACAATGCCTCTACTCACTCTGGATGGCTAGTTACTGGGCCACCTCAGGGAAGCAGCAAGACCATGGGTGGCTGCAACAGATGAAGGACAACAGGGGACCTGGGACCTAGAGTTCATGGGATTGCAGGTGACAAATAATAATCCCTGGACAGTCAAGAGATCCAGACAAGGATGTGGAACTCCAGAAACCATTCAGGTACTGTTGGCTGGACCCTCCCCCTAAGCCAGATACCTGTGTTGTCAAAGGGGGAGGGCTAGGCCCAAAGTCAAAGGCACATACCCAAATTCTAGGGTTCGTGTCCTTTTCAGAAGGACAGTTCTTCCAGCTGGTTAAAGGAGTTCAAGTTCTCAGCATTCCTTACCTTCTCCAGTTCATAGTCCACGTCACCTGTCACCACTGGGACTCTATCCAACACACGCTGATGTTTAAGGTCTTCCCCTGTTCTCAGGACCCGGTTGCAGAGGCCTGAGGCTGGAAGTTCATGAAAGTGGCCACTTGAGAGTCAGGTGTGGTGGTGCGCACACCTTTAATCCCAGATCTTGGAGGCAGAGGCAGTGGATCTCTCAGTTCGAAGCTATCTGATCTACATAAGGAGTTCTAGGCCAGTCAGAGCTGCATAGCAGACCTTGTTTGCAAAACAAAATGTTCAAGTGACTGTCTTAGACAATCAGGGTCAACAACTGCATGTAAACATAAGCACAAAACAAACCTAAATACACAAAAATGTGTGTGTGTGTGTGTGTGTGTGTGTGTGTGTGTGTG